GTGGAAATGCATAACTCAAGCAGGTCCTAATGTCCCAGGGCATACAGGAAGTCAGGAATAAGAGAAAAACCTGCTTTAAAAAAAAACCAAAACACAAGAGACACATGCTGTCTGCAGGACCACTCTTAGGGATGCAACTGTATCACACACACAGGGATGTTGAGGAAAAAAAAGCCCGCTTAAACTTGCAAGAAAGGTCTAGGATGTATAGCGTTCTATTGTCCAAGCCTGTTTCCACACCCCTGTTGCATTTCCAAGCAGAAGCGGCTTAGCTTGGAAGTGGCTTTTAATTCACGGTGCCTAGATCCTGAATGTCTTCTATAAGAAAAGCTAGGAAGAAGCCAAAATTCAGATGAACAAGTAGGCCATCTTGTGAAATCCTTGTTTCCTGGAAGCAGTTTTATAATCAGTGGGCCTTTTTCAATGTTAGAAATGGTTCTTTATTCAGTCACACCCAGGCTGACGTGACATCAGCAGTTTTGCAGTATGATGTCTAATTGGGAGTATTGTCAATGGAAAGTTGAATAGTCGGCATCATAAATATTTTCTTTTATATCTGCCGACTTTCTATTATGTAGCTTTGGAGTAATTCCTTTTTGTGAAATTTAACTTACCAAAAGCCCCTTAGTGAGCTCAGGGTGCCAAGGTGATGTGACCCCAGCTTGTCAGCTGTCCCCAGGCAGAAGCTTCTTTACATTCAGACCAGTCTGCCTACAGAGACAGGGTTTCTTAAATACTTGTCAGTTCTTTGAATTAAATGTAGGACAGATCTACTGCAGAGTTAAACTAAATGTGTCTGACATATTAAAGAATAAATTGTTTAAAAGCACTATGTATGAAACTCTAATAAAAAAATGATGCAGAATGACTTATGTTTAAACACATACCAAGCTTAAACCTCTATCTGATGTGATGCTTAGGCCTTGTTTACTTCTGTACTTTTTGGGTGTACCTCACGATATCCAAAGTAAGCCTATAATTTGATCATATTGATTCAAAAATTATTGCAAGCGTTATTCTTAAAATATCAATTAGAAATGTATGACAATTACTTTAGAGTTCTGTAATGGTCCATAGAAGGTCACAACTACATCCCTGACCAATCAGAACTTCAAGGACATCTGAATAGAAATGCATGCTTCTATCCATCCTGAAAAATATAGGGTTTTACCACTGGGACTGGATGAAAATCTTATCTATTAGTAACAGTATTCCTAAACAAAAATCAAAGAAAAAAAGGAGTAGAAATGTCTGTTTCAGTAGAAACCAGCTGATGTCTTAAACAAATATTAGTATTTTTCTTCATATGCACATCAAAGTTCAGTGATAGACTTCACTCTAATCCTGTATTTGCTTCTGTGTGTGTCTTTACTATTCACTGGATTGAGTACCATTCACCTTCTCTCTACCATTACACTTCCATCCTATAGGTAGTTCTTATCAGTTGATTACCTTCTGTTTCTGATAATAGCATGCTCCCAGAATCCATCAGATATATAGAAGTTAAGGTCAAGTTTCCTTTCCAGTTTCCTTTCCTTAACCCTGCTGTGCTGCTGAGCATGGGCTGAGATACAAAGCCCTTTTATTTTGCTTCATTTGATTTTGTAGGATTGAACTCTGAGAATTCCTCAGTAATGTGTTAGCAGACAAGCTCAGATATTGTTCTGCATTTTCTTGTTGCCCAACGGTTTTACTTAATTTCTCATATGCTTCTTTGCATCACTATGAAACTCTCTTCTCTCATTATCTAGTAATTCAATGTGATCTATTGTCTTTCCCTTTTTCCTTTTAATGATATCATTAAGGCAGCCCAAAAATCAGCTCATAAAGTATTTGTGTACTTCTACTTTGATTGTATGAACAACACAACTTTTTATCTAACAGCAGGAGTTTTTATTAAGGTCTCTAAAACAGTACAATTCTGACATTTTCCTAAAATAAAATGTTCAAATATTGGCTTTTCTTTGATTCATCAGTTAAGATTCTTACTGAAATTATCTGAGATCAAGGCATATGGTTACATACAGACATCTGTAGAAGCATCTAATACTTCTCTCCTCTTCCTAAGTTTGCTGCTTTTTCCCTGTCCAGGAACCTATAAATCAAAGAGAACCTTCATTTTATTTATTTTTTTTTGACATAGACTTCTACATCTCAGGAATATGGTGTGAGGAGGGACACGTAATCTGACGCTACAACTCCTGCCATCACTCCTGAATGTGAGATCTGATCTCGGGACAATTCATTTACAGTATAGTCCCTGTGAGTGGGAAGAAAGTACCTAGTGCTAAATTGAGCAAAGAGCATTTTCACTTTGTGCCTGAGACCTGGTGGAAAGAAAATGAGAGAAATTTGTGTGTGTCAAGATTTGGGTATCTCCTGCAAGAACCAAAGTAGTTTCAAATTTTTCAGTTTTGTTATTGCTTGAAATATGAACAAGGAGAGAGAAAGGACGTTTTACAAAAGAAGATTTCCAGTCAGGTTAAAGAGACAGGGCTCCCATCAAAAGCATTCTTGGTCAAGTTCAATATATAAGCTAGATCAGGGAACTAATGTTTCTTTGTTGGATGAAGAGGGGTACAGATTTTGTGTTGGCTTTCTGAATAATTTGAATTTCACAGATTAGTGTAGAAGAAACTCCTAAACTTGGGCCAGGATCTAAGCTTCAGTTTTTAACAAAACTGCTAACGGATACTAAACAAAATTTTTAGAATTTCTCTTTCTTAGACTCCTTAAGGAGAAATATGATCTTCTGTATAATTTTCAGATGGTAATGTTCATTTTTCAAAATAAATTTACATGCACATACACAGTAACAGAATTTGGTTTACCTTAATTCTGTGTATTTTTGTAAAGGCCCTGATTATCTCCAGTAAATATGACACCCATCTCCTTTGACCTTGCCTCTCTTAAAGAAAGCAACTGTATAACTTCCAGTACAGCTCCCTAGAGCTTTACTTGTTGTAAGATATTTGTGTATACGACAACTTTATTCTGCTTTCCAGAATGAATGTTTTGCATATACAAGGGATGCAGAGACTGCCAAGCAGTCCTCTTTCTGGCCACTAGGCTGATGTTGTGGAAAATTGATTTCCAGTTGAATTCTCCCACTTCCTCTGCTCTTATATTTTGGTTTCAGAATGTCAGTCCATAATTGAAGTTGAACATAAATAGCAGCAAAGGAAGTAAGGCATGGAGGCGAGAGGGCAGGTGGTAGGAGCTAAAATGGAAACAGTGAAGGGCAGACAACCATACACATACAGTTATACAAACAGATGTCTGGGTATAGTCCACAGTCTCAGGATTTTGCTACATAAACTAAGAATAAAATTCAGATGTGAATATTTTCCCCAGTTCTCTCTCCTTATATACCCAAACTGAGACTTCATCATTTTATTTCAGCTGGAATAGTAACAGAAGTGAAAGCAGCCCTGACTTTGCAATATTGATTAACTCTCTGCTTCAGGTGTTTAGCTGAGATTTTTTCTTTTACATCACAAGCAAGTAGCATTAGAAATGTAGATGACCAAAAATATTTAACTGTTCCTTTAAAATGGAATTGCTTCATCAGAAGAGAAAGAAGTACTTAAGAAAGACAATGGCTTTGCCTTAGTATCACATATCCTAGCAGCCTTTACTAGCCACCGAGCTATTGTGGGCAGCTGTTTTGTTCATATAAATGTGATTCCAAGAACATTTTGGTATTCATGAAAGAGTATTTTTAAAGTAATAAAGTTTTGACTAAAATCAGTTTATGAGCCTTAGTGAGGATAATCTGAAAGACAGTCTAAAGGTCTTAGGAGGATGATCAGAAAAGCACTGACTACTGAGCATCAAGTAATCAAAACTTGTCGGTGGAAAAGATTTGGTTTTGCAAGAAAAAAATCTTTGCAGTAGACTTGAAGAAGAAAAGGGATGAGCACAGATTGTAAGCTTTGGCTACAAAAGGCTAGCATTTTGAGACATGGGCAGGCTTGAAAGGTGTTAGAATAGAATTAAGAGTAAGATCCCGATGGTGACTGTAAACTGTTCAGTGAACCTTCACTTCTGCATCTTGTGCACTGGATAAATAAATTCTTCTCCTTATACTTTGCCACAGAGCCCGGTGCTTATATCTCCTGAGCCAGAAGATGAGAAGTGCAAATGCCAGCCCATGCAGTAGAAACTACATGGTCCCCTAGTAGAAGAACAGTTCCCTAGTAAGAAGAGCGCAAGATGTTTTCTGATTTCATGTGATGATGACATTTATGTAGAGGTATGCTGGCTCAAGGGCACATTTTCACTAATTTCATTTTCAAGCTCTTGCCTGCATACATAACTCTACAGCAGTGAAATTGCAAGCAATACAATAAAAAAGATTGCCAGGTTTTAAAATTATTATTCTTATTTAAACTGCTAATATGTTCATTTTTCTAAATTGTTTTAAAAGTGTACTTGTCTTCAGTTTTATAAAATCTTGTTTAAAATCACAGATTTTTGTTTCCACAAATCAGACCTAGTAAATAGCTGATCTTGACATATTTGCATATTACCTTCATGCATTTAGACTATATACAATATTACTATTTACATTTTTAACAGCGTTCCGTAATACTTAGATGAACTTTTCAGGTATGTGAGATTATTGCAAAAAACCCCAGAAGAGTACTAAAACAAATCCAAGCTGAAGAAGTTACCAGTTTTATAGGTTTCAAATAGCCTCTCAGTTGGCTCTGAACTGTGACTAAGTATCAAAGTGGAGAAAAATCACCTAAATTTACCCTCCCCCTTAGTCAGCAGTAAGCTTCATAGGACCCTCCCCAAACCAAATAAGGCCAGGAAGAATGTGCTAAGCACTGAGTGTGCTAAGAATAAAGTTGAGCTGGGATGGATAAGGTTACTTTGAACTCTGTATTTCATGTTTTCTGACATACCCCCCAAAGAACTGCAATTACGCTAGCAAGGCTGCAGGAGCATTGAACAGTTCTTTGCCAGTTCTTTTTTTTTTGTTTTGTTTTGGTTTTTTTTCTGCCTTTCTGTGCATTCCTGTCCTGTTTATAGCTGGGACGTTTTTATTTGTAGTGTCTGTGGTTCTTAGGATATTAGAAAAAACATGCTGAAGATTCACCATAAGGCATGGCTATTTTTGTTAGAAGCTGATACTTTAAACTAAGCTTTAAGTGTTGCCTTTGGAAGTCCTTAGTTTGCTCCGAGAAGGCAGGAGTCTAAAGGGGAGACAGAAAGTTTGGAGGGGCACAAAGAAGAAGGAACAGAATTAGAAAAAGCAGTGGACCTTCCTCCTCCTCATTCTGCAGTTCCTGCAAGAGTCAGCAACAGTTATATAAGCTTCCACAGTACATCTTGACCTTTTAAACAGAGTATCTCTTACCATCATCATCATGGCCGAGATTACAGCAGAAGGTACGGTAACTATTTTCAAGTATAATTAACTAAAAATTATGCATATTTTGACAGTGTAGATGCTCAAACAAATACGATTTGTTGCTCTTAGTAAATAACTCACTCCAGGATCATTTCATTTTGTTTGTTGGATTGCTTTCTACTTATCTTTTCTGTTCTTTTTTCTTTTTTCATTCCTGTTGCCATTTACTGAAGCTAGATCTCCATACACCTCTAAAAATAGTGTTAGTCTCATTTGCAGAACAGCACTGCTTAATGTTAATGTTCCGTTAGAGTGATACAAGAAGGGGAATGTCTGAACGTCAGGTGATACTACCCCCAAGCCTTTGCTCAGGTAAAGCTGTGGTAGTCCTTTATAATTGGAGATTTGCCAGAGTCAAAATAGCTTAGTTTGGTGGCCCTGTTTTTTCCATAAAGAGCCCTGAGGGTGAACTCTACAGGATGTTACTGAAGGGTAAAAGATATCAGCTCTGCAATTCTTATGCAGGTAAATGTCTAAAAGAGTCAGTGAAAGTTGTGCTGAATTAGTACCCCAGAGCTAGGCCTGCAAGAATGAAAAGCAATTGTATTAACCAGGAAATACATATTCTAAAATATGAATATTTCATATACTTTAATATTTTCTGACCATTCATATTTACATAACATTTTAGACGCATAACAATATTTTATCAACCACAGTCAGACAGGGAATATATTTAAAATGCAGCCTTCTTTAAATTTAATACTGAATATTTTAGTTGAATTTTATTCCAAGTCTTTTTTTTCATCAGTGTTTACCAAATTCAATAATGACACTACAAAAAAAAAGAAAAGGCTTTTAAACAGTCTTCTGAAAGTTATTTTTTTTCTGCTTGTCAACGTTATAATGCGTTTCAGTGTAGGAAAGTTGTACTTTTCATCTTCCATTTTTCATTGTTATTATTTGTAAGAGGATCTGCAGTAAGTACTATTAGAGAGTGAGCCAGTTGTCTTCTAAAGGACTGATATTAGGACTATATCAAATTGTATGACAGTCCTGGCCTGATGTCTGATTAGCCACAAGAAGGTGATACGAGTATGATTTTTGTAATCAGCAGCTGGATGGTTCTATAATTTGCTTCTGGCAGCAACTACTACCAGAACAGGTGGCTCAGCCTGACAGCCCTAACCAAAATGCTAGTACTTGATTATTTGGATATTCTTAACCTGGCTTGATGGAAACATTGGTTATTTTGTAGCTGCTAGGAGGGAAATCTGTGAATTTCTATTTATCTTCCAAAATGAGTGCATTAATACTATCAGCATCAGAGCAGCAGTACCTCTTTGCAAGGTTATTCAAGCAAAACAATCCCAAACTGGGGAGATTTTTAGTCCAAAATTAACAGCAAAAAATGAAATTTTCAATCAGTCTGGAAATGAATTTTCAGTCATTTAGAGTCTGAAAGTGTTTTTTATAGTGCTTTTATAGTGTTTTTACAGGTGTTCCTTAGCTTCAATATTGTGTGGTTTTCTCCTGTGTTTTTTTAATGTGCAAAGCAATAGACCTCAGGTGATAAGGGACATCAGCTCCACAGTAATCTAACCTTCAGTATAACAGGTAAATAAGCCATATAATTAGTTTAGATTAGTTTGATTGTGGGAGGGGGCGTAGTTGTTTTTTTTCTTACATTTGGAATGGACTTTGTTAATTGTATAATTTTTAAAGTCTGGACCCACGAGATGGAAATTGTACAGAACACTATTGTACAGAACACTAAATTGGCAGAACACTATGAATTCAACCAGGGCTAATGTTTCACTGCAGTTTATTTTCCTCTGGGGCTACTGCTGGTATTCACAAGGCAGATTTAAACTTTAGCAACATATAGTTTGGACCAATTAAAATACCCCTTGCTTCACACAAGTCCTTTTTTATTTTATTTTCTTCTATGCTACATCCCAGTCCCTGATTTGTTGTGTCTTCATGACTTTATTAGGATTAAAGTACCTGCTCCTTGTGGTAGGTATTAACTATATTTTAGCCACAGATCAGCTAAACTGCCTGGCTCCTTGCCTGTTGAGGTACTATGCTGACATGCCAGAGAGTACAGCACAACAGCGGTGCAGGTTTCAACACTGCCATTGCCAGTGTGGCTGCTGGTGTAGAGAGATGGTCCAGGTATCTTTTTCTAGCAGCCTATGTCAATACCATGATCTATTCAGAGACAGATGTACAAGGCTGACGAAGTGCTCTGGAAAGGTCAGCATCCTGGTAATGACAATGAGACTAAGTAGCTTGAAAATATAGCCACCAAGCAGTGACCCTGGCCTGCCTACTTGCTTTGCAAGCCACATGTGCTGCCTATTCATTTCCACAGCTACAATATTTAGTTGTGGACATACTGGTGAAGTGTACCTGGTGGGAGACAAAAGGAGACCTCTGAAGACAACAATTTATAAATGTCCTTAGAAAATTGGCAGGACCTAGGTCTCCTGCCAGCAAATATTTAGGAGAAGATTCCAAAGCATTATCTTCAGCATCTTCATATTACATGTAATTGCAACCACAGAAATGTACTATTAAAAGGTTTGGGTGACATGGTTTAGTGGGAGGTGTCCCTGCCCATGGCAATGGGGTTGGAACTAGATGATCTTAAGGTCCTTTCCAACCCTAACTATTCTGTGATTGTGATTCTATGAAAGTCATTAAAACTGTATGCAGAAAAAGTCTCAGTACAAAGTACTGTGTCTTTGCAACAGTCTCAGGATCTTTTCTTTTGTTATCATTATTATTATTATTATTAGTTGTTGTTGTTGTTGCTGCTGCTGTTGTTATTATTACATTTCAACTGTTACTGAGTGAGTACTCTGTAATGGCCAGGGACTTTACTGTGATACACTTCAGAGCTTGTCTAAAAGCCGTGGGCATCTATAACTATGCTACTCTGCTGTATTTGTGAATGAAGGCACTGGACTGGACTCAGTGGCAGATGTGGTTAGAGCTGCCACCATCGAAATATGAATACAAAAAGCCTGACACCTCTGAGAAATGGCTTCTACCAAAGTACAGCTTAATTTGTACGTGCAGAATTGCTCCAGCAGCAGCCCTGTAGTTGGTCTGTACTACTCCATCTACTGCAGGTCGCAGTGCAAGGCTGATGGCTCTTCCCTGGCTCTTTATGCTCCCTCGCAGGGAAGAATGAGCAGAGACTTAGCTCTGCCTGTTGCAATGCTCTGGAGACTGTGCACTGATCTAATCTGGGGAGGTGAGAAGAGGAGAAAGACAAGGTTTCTACACCAGCTGTTTGTCTGCCACAATTTATTTCCCCAGCCTAGCAAGGGGGAAGCAGGAGTCAAACAGAAATGTGACGACAAGTCACAATTTGGTCCTTATTTTGCTGCTGAGCTGTGCAACTACACGTTTCCTGTGCCTTGGAGCAGACTGCAAGGAGACAGGGTAGCCCTGAGGCCACACACAGCTTGTCAGTGACAAAATCAAAATTAGCTTCTAGGTTTCTGTGCTTTTTTTCAGGATATTTGATAACTATGAAAAGTTTTAAGATATAAACCATTTCAAAAGGCAGATTTGACAAGATCTCTGTGTTTGAAGATTAATAGATGTGAAACTGATAATGTATGAGAAATAACACACAAGAGCCAGAGAGTAAAATCATAATGACTTCATGAGTGCAACGGCCAGAAGCTAACAGCAGTCTCCACTTGGAAAAAAGTTGGAAAAAACTTTAGTGAAGTCACACTACAGGCAGGAGGGAGATAGCTGCTTCTCATGATAATTCATGAGTTGCTGCTTAAGGTGCTACATGTGCTGACTCAAAAAGGAGCCTAGATGAATAAATTAGATTAGATGATTCATTTTGATAGCTAAAGGCATGTGAGCAGTTTTCTAGCCTTCCATTAGACTGCTACGTAGCACTGAGGTAGGAGGCTTCTATAGAATTTATTTGCAACAAGAAAATTTGCAAAATGAAAAGATGTCTTTTTTCTGGCTTTCAGTGTTGATGAGGAAGCAGATGGAATACCTTATGCAGTGGGGTAGGGAAAAGACAATTTTGCCACTGACTTTTTGAAGGAGTCAGTCCCATGTAAAGTTAACAGCCTAATTACCTAGAGAGACAAAATGTCAGAAAACCCAGGACTGCCTGTAAAAAAGTAAGTCTCTGGGGGCAACAAATGCTCCAAATTCTCACTGAAATTCCTTAAAACTTGGATTCCTCTGTGCCTGTGGGCCTGGACAACTGAGTTGGTTAGTTTGGCTGCAGCCTGGCTGCTTTCTCATGGTGTATTGAGTGTGAAGCCAAAATTGTTAGCTGAAGCTTTATGTTTAGGAATTTGTGGGCAATGTTACTCACAGCTGGTATGGCATCTATATGTTCAGTTGGTGCAGAGAAACTCTAATGTATCATTAGTTTAGGTAGTCCCTAAGAAGATTGGCTAGGTATGGACAGCAGGAAGCCTTAAAACCTGTAAATCAGAGATTTAAGCTAATAAATTGTGTTGCTAGTCCATGACAGGCTAAAAGTATGTGGGTGCAGTTATTCATGCTTATGTGTATGCAAAGAGCTGGACCATAGGTTTGATTATTTATTCACTTTTTTTAAAAGAAGTTTGTGCCCATAAGTATCTGAAACATATTTGAAGGTTACTTACATAATGAGTAGCATTTTCAAGTTACTGGGGTGATCAGTAACCACTGATTTATGAATTAAATCTATGCAGCCACTTAAGATTCTCAAAAGTCCCAGCCGTTGCCTTCAGGTACCTAATACTTGAAAAACATCTAATCTATAAACATTTGGAGTGTGTTTACCCATTGCCTACAATGTAAACACTGAGTAAGAGATGTATTCATGCTGCTCTTACTGTTCTGCCCTGGGAAGCAGAAACTGGCTTAGTTTAAAACATGTTTCATAATACAGGTTTGGCTTAAGTCCAGGACACAGTGATGACAGAGAAAACAGAGCTAATGTCTGAGTCAGGTCAGCTGTTTACAGAAATGGAGAAGCTCTCTTTTTCTTTCA